CCCTCTCCAGGTTATCCACATCCCTCTTGAAGTGCAGCGCCCAGAATTGCACGCAGTACTCCAACTGCAGTCTGACCAGCACCCGATAGAGGGGAAGTATCACCTCCTTGGATTTGTTCGTCATGCATCTGCTGACGCACGATAAAGTGCCATTGGCTTTTCTGATGGCTTCGTCACGCTGCCGACTCATGTTCATCTTGGAGTCCACTAGGATGCCAAGATCCCATTCCACTTCCGTGCCACCCAGCAGGTCATTCCCTAGGCTGTAGGTGTGCTGCACATTTTTCCTCCCTAGGTGCAGCACTTTGCATTTCTCCTTGTTGAATTGCATTCTGTTGTTTTCTGCCCATTTGTCCAACCTGTCCAGGTCTGACAGGTTGGAGATCTTTGATAGGAAGCATGTAGGACATTGTGGATGAAGTCTAGCCTGTGGCCTAGTAGTTAGAATACTTCAGAGGGAAGCCAAGGCTGCAGATTCAATCTGCAGCAGAGGGAGGAGCCCTAGAACTTGTGCATCCCACTTCCTGGGCATGTGTCTCAGGAAGAGGGCTGCTGCTTTTGATGAGAAGGGCCTCTGCAATTTTGCTTTGCACTTCTGCTCCACATGGTGAAAAAGCCTACTGAGTAATAGTTATCACTCACGTTTGAGTTGTGTGTGGTTTGGTGGTCTCTATTTTACAGGTGGCAGGGACACGGGGGTACGGTGATTCTGTTTTACCGCAGCATGAAATAGACTCTCAAATTGTGAGTGGGAAAAGCAAAAACTACCATTGATCTTTCAGGACTTCTTCATACGACACATTTATCTTCCTTTCATCCTGTCTCCTGAAACATGCGCACATAAAGAGAAGCACAAATGGTTTGAGCTCAATTGTATGTCTTTTTCACTAAAGTCATTTCAGTGGTTTTATTTGTAACGTGGCACAATGTGAAAATGGGGTCCGTCTTCAAACAGTCCTGAATACTGAAACACTGGAGCCTTTTTCTGGAGAATTATTTGCCAGTGAAATTTTGCCAAACTAATAACCCTCCTGGGGTTCATTTGTTACTTTGGGATTATGTAACGATACAGGGGGTAGCTATTTTTGTCTTTATGTTTGGGCAACCAAACCAATATAAAGCAACCAATGATAGGGCCAAGAAGAAAACAACAGCCTTCTTTAGTCAATGAGGAGAGAAAAGCACATAACTGGGTAGGAACATTATCTAAAATTGCCAGCATTGCTGCAAACCAGCAACCGAGTTCCAAACTGGGCGTTTGAATGAACAGCTGGTGAAGGCTGCTATCTTTGGGAGCTATCTTTATTGTTATACTATTATAATATGTTCTGTCTGTATAATTGATTGCTATTGCACCATTTGCAATATAGTTACAAGAGAATTAATTCCGACAGAAGTGGGCAGCAGGTAGGCTAGAAAGCAGATGCTTAAAGATAGAACATGTTCTGATATTTGACAGTCTCCCAAATGTTAGTTCCTTTCTAAGATTTATCTCCAATGTCCTAGGGTTCAGCGTTCTGGCTGAAAACACCAGACAGGAAGGTCAACAGGCTAAAAACAGTTATAAAGAGCTTTAAAGTGGTCAAAGACTTTTTTTTTTTGCCTGAGAAGCTCACAAGAGAGGGAAAAACATGAGCTATGTATACATATTATTGTCTCTCAGACCTGTTGGCATCCTGATAAGCACAGTTGTCTACTTTAGAGTCCTTATTTTACCAATCTGAGTGTTTGTTGAGCTAAGCCACACATCTTAATGTATGTTGATTGCTGCTTCCATAGTGGAGTAATTGCAACCGGTAAAAAGGCTGCATTGAGTCGCTGTTTTCAGTGCTCTTCACAAGCTCCAAAAGAGAGGTTTTGCAGGTCAGCTGAATCCAGCTGGACATGCTGTTTAAGACAGTGGACTTAGGCACCCATGGTTTTTTTTAGAGTGGTCTCATTCTTTCATAAGTTACAAAAGCAGCTGTTTCCATTTTACAGTTAGGGAAATTCAGAGACAGCCTGGAAAGTGATTTCCCCAAGAACACACAGCAAGTCAGATGCAAAGATCGGAATAGATGGCTGGTCTTATGAATGTCTAGTTACTGGCTTCTCCTTCTAAATATACTGCCTTTTTGTAAACTAGCATAAAGTGATCTGCAAGGTAGAGAATATATATTGAGTCATTGTGTAATAGTTTTTGAAAATGGAAGGAAACGTTATAATAATCTACTCTGACATCTTGCATAGTATTAGCCACAGAGTTCCAGCCTTTTTTGCTGCCTCAAGTTTATGCCTTGTGCCTGAAATATAGTGCATCTTTTACAAAGAAAACACCCTCTCTTGATTTGTTTTTTCCAAGTGATGGAATTTGACAGCACCTTTCGGTAAGTTTTCCAGTAGTTTATTAACTCATTTGTAAGTAAGTACATGTTACTTATTTCTAGCCTGAATTATCTGGGCTTCCAGACACTGGATCTTGTTCTACATGTTGCATTGAAGAGCTCCCTTTGTGCTATGCACACATAAATATCCACACGCAGACTGGGCCTGCACAGTAGGGATATGCACTGGATAGGTATGTATGTGGCTATGTAAGTCGCAGGAAAACTATAGGAGCAGGAAGGCTTCCCTCCCCAACAACTAAATGACTAGTCACCCATCCAGGAAGCTGGAGACCCAGCTTTTACCACCCCCCACCTCCAACCAGGAGGAGAGCAGGTGGTCTGATGGTGTCATTCTGACTTCCTAGCAAAGCATTCTTACCACCATACCACAGGTTTGGCATAACCCAACCATTACTTTTTATTTTTGGCCCTACTTTTTCCTCCCCCTCTTGGTTTCCCTGGGAGACAGCTTCAAAAAGAAGGCTAGAGCATGAATTGGGGATGGCTAAACTTGGGCTGAGAGTCCTGAGCTGCAAAATCAGGATACAACTTCCAAACCCTCATGGGTAAGAGCAGCTGGAAGGTGATTTCCCCCAAACCCACAGTAAGTCAAATGCAAGGATGGGAATACCTGGCCTCATGAATGTATGGTCACTGGCTTCTCCTAAGCGTACTGCCTCTTTGTAAACTAGCAATCTAAAGCCTTTGGTTATGCTAAGCAGTGATTAAACTAGGGTGGCCTCTTGCTCACTGTTGTTTGTGGTGTTCAGGAAGCTGGGGTCTGTGTACTCTGAGGAGCACCTGGAGTCCAGGTGCAATGCAGAAAGAACAACTCCAATTAATGTTTGGTGGTGAAAAGCTAGACAAGGTTTATTGTCACTTGGATGGTACACTAGCTAGTCTGTTTAGCAGTCAGCCCACATCAGCAAAACTGCCCAAGACAAAATAGGAGGAATACCATGCAAAATTGTGCTCCCCTAGACCACTACAAATAAACAAGTCTTGTGGCACCTATATTCATACCCCAAATAGCCACATTTTTGTGCTAATGCTTATCTATCTTTTTGCCAAGATATCCATTTTTACTTCTCTTTGGCAAGTTCATACCTGGCCCCTTTAGTTTTTCCATTATCTCAGCACCTGCCCTCATTAATTTTACTTTGCTCCTACTACACTATTCTCGTACCAGCCTCCCTAGTCATTAGTATGTATTCATTTTTATACATCTCTTATCAAATCATTCAGAGGTCAGCGAGGCCTGTTCTTCCCAAGCTCCTTTTCAGTGCCTTGCTTAATTACTATCTAGCTTAACAAAAAGACGTACAGCCCTCAGCTTCTGGTATTAATAGACAGAAATACTTTACTCCTCCAGAGTTCAATGCCTGCTAGTTTTAGGAATCTGGCTGGCTAGAATTTGGGGGGGCTTAGACATAGGTGTGTGTCTACAATTAACATATACTCATAGTTGTGTACCTGTCTGGATGGTGTGTTGCCTAATGCCAATGCTCAGTCTATGTGTAAACTCTTACACATTGATAGTGCAGGGGAAATAGAATAGACATTTATGCATAAGTACCAAAAATGCCACTTATGTGTCTAGAAAGCTCTTATTTAGATATACAACAGAAAGTAGAATTCCACTCCATATGTATTTTAATATACTTTATTCCTGTTCTTTATATACAGCAAATTACATTCCTTGCAACTTTTTTGACTTTAATAGCCTTGATAGCAGATTAAGAGAAAGCAAATGTTTGTTCTCTCTATCAGTATGAATTAATTTGCAAAGCTGTGCACCTTGCTTGTCTCCTCTTTTTCAGAGAGCACATGGCCCATGTACAATGGAAAAATCAAACATCCATCATCAAATTCATCCTCCTGGGATTTGGGAACCTGAATGAGCTTCAAAATCTTCTTTTTGTGTTGTTCTTATTGATCTACACTGTGACTGTAGCTGGGAATATCCTACTGCTTGTGCTGGTTGTGGCTGATCAGCATCTTCACACCCCCATGTACTTCTTCTTGGGGAACTTATCTTTCCTGGATGCCTGCTACACCTCAGTCATTGCTCCCAGATTGCTGGCTGGGTTTCTGACAGAGGACAGGAGTATTTCCTTTGGGGAATGTATCTCACAGTTATTTTTATTCAGCTCCTTAGCTTGCATAGAGTGCTTCCTTCTGGCGGTCATGGCTTATGACCGCTACTTGGCCATATGCAACCCACTCACCTATAAGATTGTGATGAACCTAAGGATTTGCTCCCAGCTGGTGTCTACCTCATGGCTCTTGGGCTTCTCAGCCACAGCCTTTGTGGTAGGAATGCTTCCCCAATTACATTTCTGTGGCCCCAATGAAATTAATAATTTCTTTTGTGACATGGAGGAGCTGCTGAAATTGTCCTGCTCTAAAAGCCCTCTGGCAGAAAAGATTGTCCTTGTCACCTGCTCCCTTGTAACCCTGGCCCCTTTCCTCTTCATTGTTGTGTCTTACATTTATATCCTCTCAGCCATCCTGAGAATTGCGTCTTCGACTGGGAGGCAAAAGGCCTTCTCCACTTGCGCGTCTCACCTCCTGGTGGTAAGTCTGTATTATGGGACCATCGTTGTTATGTATGTGGCACCATCGGCTAAGCAGTCCCCAAACTTCCATAAATCTCTTTCTCTGATCTACACAGTTATCACCCCAATGTTTAACCCTATCATATATAGCCTAAGGAACAAAGAAGTAAAGGGAGCCTTCTGGAAAGTTGTGCTAAAAATTTTGGTGAGGAAGTAAGCTAGGATTTCCAAAGAAATACTAATGGTACGTAATAGATTTTTTATATATGTTGGCAGAACTGAGGAGAAAAAATAATTTATTTCAAAGGAAGCCTTTATTGATTCTAGTTGGAACATTTTGTTTTAAACAAAAAAGAAAAATGATATTTCAAAACCAAAGGTGGCGGGGGGGGGGAACATTTAAGGAAATACTGAAACAAAACAGTTTGGCATTTCTGAATTGAAATACACCATTTATAAAAAAATCTAAATGAAATATCATGGTGTCTTCAAAAGATGTTTATCCACATTTTAAATTAAAGCAAAAGTATTTGACCCTAAGCACATGGGCTAGATTTGGCCTCAGAAGCTATGTTATCTGGCTCACAAGGCTCCCTGTGGCTCCAAAAAAGTGACAGTGGGGGAAGAGTGGCTGCCTTTCTAGTGCCAAATTTCCAGGACCTCAGTGATTCCTGCAAGCCTGAAAGCATGGCCCTGTGTGTTAGATCGAGTGTGTAGGATCCAATCCTGGCATGAAGGGTTGAATACGGGGGACATGTGGCTGATCAACGGTCCAAGCAGAGATGATGTGGGCCTCATCCAATCCTGGTATGGAGCCAAAGGGAAGCAGCACCGGACCAAGTGTGGATCCAGGATTTCTCAAAGTGGGTCCAGGAGCAACAACCCCCATGGCAGAAGTGGTTTTACCTCCTGCTCCCAACCTCCTCCACCCCTACCAGTACAGGTAGATGGTTCAATGGGAGCTTTTGGGGACTTTCTTAAAGTCCTAAAGAAGGTGAATACCACACCCCAGCCCCGCTCCTTCCCCTTCCTGTTTAGAGTCATGCCCCCTCCCTTCCTTTCTTTCCCCCGTCCCCACTGTAGAGACAGTGGCAACAGGACAGCTGGAGAGTAGTTCCTCCCACCTGCCTGGCCAGGAAGAGGAGAAGGGGAACCCCTCTGCAATCCATGATGCAGTTGTTCCCATCCCCAGCTGAGCGGAGCCCCCTCACAGTGGGCAGGAAGGGCTTTGATGCCTCCCTGTCCCCAGGACAGTGGGGAAAGGCACACAGGAAAGTGGGGGAAGGGAGTGGAGAGGGACTATACCTTTGAGCAGAAAAGAGAAGGGAGGACAGATTTTCACCTGCTTTAGGGACTTTTAAAAGTCCCTAGAGTCTACTGTGGTGAGGTGTAATCCGAAAGGGGGTTGTATCCATGCCACGGCACCCCCTCTGGATCCTCCTCTGCACAAGCCCAATCCTGGCATACAGGGCCCAATGTGACCTACAGAATGGCCCTGCACTACTAACACAATCCACAGGGCCCAAAGGTTGAACACCTCTGATTAACCTATTCATCCTATTGGAATAGTTTTGGTCTCCCACAAAGTTACTCAGTTAAACAAAAAAAAGAAAAAAACCCTTAGATACAGTGGTGCCCAAGTCTTTCCAGAAGACAGTGTGACTTGACATCTTCCTTTAGTTCAATTTGAAAAAGCTCACTGTAAGTCCTAATTGATTTAAACAACATTTTGTTTCCTACCTTCATTTTTTATTCTAGTTTGGGGCCATTTACCACATTGAATTTTCTCAGCTTCTAAGTGACGGGCCTTGAATCTTTGCCTCTCTTGGCAGGGAATTCAATTGTTTACCCATTCTTTAAAGCACATCCCTGTGATAAAAAGGGCCCAATGATTAAGTCATGCCTGTGTGAGTGAGTGTGTGTGTGTGTGGGGGGGGCGGGGGGGAAATGCCTGTGTGTGTGTGTGTGTATATATGTTTAATTTTTAATTAATAAAATTAATTCCTTACCTCTCCCCCCTTATCTGAAATTCTTTCATGCACACTCAGTGAAATGTGGGGATAGGTTGTAAGAGGTGGTAAGTTCTCTATTCTTTTGTAGTTATCTACCAGGCATTTTTGGCATTTACATGTCCAGAGGAAGAGAAAAGCAAGACAGAGTGTGTGTGGCTTAGTAAGGTGACTTCTGGCTTGTAAAAAAAGGGGGTCCTAGGTTATGGCAAGGGCTCTTGTTGCAACTGGGGCAGAAACTTGCCTCTTTACTGCAGTCATTAAGTTTTTCCAGTGAGTATGCTGGAGTCTTAGGTTCAAAAGGAGCTCTGCAAAAGGGAGAGAATAGTGCCTGACCTGTAGTGTTATTGTTAGGGTTTTGTTACATGGTAATTTTAGGCAGTTTCTGTAGTACTTATCCTGAGTTGCAGTCCTCCAGCATCCTAGGATGCAGTGACCCCTCCTGAGTCAGGGCAAGTGAGGATGGCAGGGTGCAGCAGGGGTTACTTAGAAAGGTTGTAGGGGGTACGCGGGTGGGGCAGAGTATGGGGATGGAGTGCAACCTGGGTGGGGCACAGTAGCGGCATCTCCCCTGGAGCATTCCTCCACTTCATCTCTTACCCAGGGGAGGGGAAGGAGGAGGGATGCACTAGATGCTGCCAGCCCCACACTGCACACCACAGCGCTTCCCCACCCCCATCCCAGCTCGCTCTCCTGATTGTCCAGGGGGCAGAGTCAATCTGAGAGCAGCAGCCTTCCCTCCCCCCCATATCCATACAGCAAGCCTCAGCCCCCTGCACGGCAGGTGCAGAGCTGCCCCATGAGGGGGGCAGGTGGGGAGATGGGCTGGGCTGCAGCATTGTGTGGGCCCAGGGCTGGCTGGGAAAGGGTGTGACTGTGGGCGCTGGGCACTTCGCTGGGAGCCCTCCCCCTTATTAAAAGTAAGCTTTTTCCATGGTAGAGGTTGGGCCTCAGGATGTTCCTTAACCTCATGAGGGGCTGTCCCTGGCAGTGAAGCTCTGTGCTGGCCCAGCCAGGCCTCACAACACTGGCCCCGGGGGGCTGGGCAGGCAGTACAAGTGGCATGGTTCCTCAGCTGAGCTCCGGCTCAGTTGCAGTGGCCCCTCGAGGCACCCTGAAGGAGCCCCAGCTGAAGCGCAGCGTTGGTGACCAGCAGCACCCACACCCATAGCCAGGCCCAGCCGCACCATGGGCGCAGAGCACAGCGCGGAGCAGGGTGGAGCTGCGCTGTCCTGAGGGGCTGAGGCACTCACTAGGGCTATGTGAAACGGCGGTGTTTCATTTCGACCAGTGTTTCGACATTTCAGCGAAACAGTGTTCTGTTTCAACTTCTGTTTCGAGTCGAAACGGCTGATCTGTTCTGTTCCATCAAAACGTTTTGCTGTTTCAACCCTGTTTCAATGTTTCGCCCACAGGATATAATGGGGAAGGTCAAAACAGGCTATAACTTTGTTGTTTCCAGCCAGATTTGGATGAAACTTGCAGAAATGGTAGCCCCCTCTGAGAGCATGAAGCATACTATGTTTCAAGAAGATAGGTGCAGGTAGTTCAGAGAAACTGCACCCCAAAATCATGACAGAAAAACTCATGTCATGTGTACGTGTTAGGCCACAGCAGGGTCAAAACTGCAGCTATAGTAGCCTTTGCTGAGGTAACAAAGACTGCCAAGTTTCAAGCAGGTACATGTAGGGGGTTTGGAGAAACATCACCCCAAAATCCTGAAAGCAAAACTTGTGTCACTTGTACACCTGCAGTTTTGACCCCACTGTGACTTTAACACGTACAAGTGACACAAGTTTTGCTTTCAGGATTTTGGGGTGATGTTTCTCCAAACCCCCAAACTGCACCTCAAGCTGCGGACAAGCAAAACTCGTGACATGGGTGACACTGTGTGTGTTAAGGAGCAACAGGGTGACAGCTGCAGGGGTAGTAGCCCCTGCTGTGGCCATGCAGCCTGCCAGCTGTCAAGGAGAAAGGTGCAGGGGTTCTGGGTTTTGGGGCCCTGCACCTCTAGTCGCAGGAGGCAAAACTCGTGACATGGGTGCTTGTGCCACTGTGTCTGTCTTGGGGAAGAGGGGTGGGAAACCACTGCAGGCCTGGCTGCTAGGCCCTGCTGTGGCCACGAAGCCTGCCAGCTGTCAAGGAGATCAGTGCAGGGGGGTTCTGGGGCCCTGCACCCCTAGGTGCTGACAGGCAAAACTCATGCCATGGGTGCTTGTGGGGCTGACTGTCTGTCTTGGGGCAGTACTGTGTACTGAGCTGGTCCCTGAGTGATCCATGATTGATTGATTGGTAACTGGTAACACAGGAGCTTAGCAGCCAGGCCTGCAGTAGTGTTTCCCAAGGCAGACAGTCAGTTCGAAGCTGTGTCCGGAGCCTCGCACAGCCCTAATACACAGTGTAGCCTACTGAGCATGCACAGTATATGCATGTACACTTACATGTCCATGCTGCATGGATAATAGAATTACAGAAAGTGTTTAAATGCCAAGAAGATCACTTATACAGCTGGAAGAAGTCTTTTTTTTTTTTTCTCTGTTTATTGCCTCTGCAGTCTGCCACACCACCTTCCTCTGCCTTTATTCTTACACTCCATTTGATGCTTATCCAAGGCCTTACCTGGAGTATTGCATCCAGTTTTGGGCCCACACTTCAAGAAAGATGTGGACAGATTGAAAAGAAATCCAGCAGAAAGCAACAAAATATGATTAGAGGCCTGGGAAGCATGACTTATGAGCTAAGGCTGAAAGAACTCAGGGTATTTAGTCTAGCAAAGAGAAGATGGGGGACTATTTCATAATAGTTTTTAAATACCTGCGACACGATTATTAGGGCTGTGCAAAGCTTCAGGTGGTGATTCGATTCGGAGGAGATTTGGCCTGATTTAGTGGCCGAATCTCCGAATCTGAATTGAATCAGGGGACCAATTTAAAGGTCCAAATCAATTCAAAGCTCTCTGAATCTTTGAAGCTCTCTGAATGTCTGAATCTGACTCTGAGTTGGTAAGTACTACGGGTGGGGGAAGGGGGCCTGGGGGACTGGACCATGGGGGGGACCTCTGTAAAGTGCCGGTGCTCACCGGGTGCTGCTGGGCAGGAGGATGATCCCTGCTGCCCTCCACTACCCCATGCTGCATGGGGGGTGAGCCAGGACAAGCTTCTATCCCTGCTTTAGGTGGGGGGTGTTACAGCGATGGGCTGCAAGGACACGAATGGGAATATGGGAGGCAGAAGGTTAATGGGATGGGGTGAGTAATGAAATGGGATGTGGAAAGGAAATGGAGATGGAGGATGGGTGAGGAAATGAAGGAAGTCACCCACTGAATAAAATAAAAAGTATTAAAAAAAAAAAAGAAAAAAAAATAAGAGGAAATAAACTGAAGAAAGTCTCATGTTTTAATAAATTGGGATTGGGGTGTGGGGAGTACTGGCCATGCTGCCCAGATTGCCTGGGAGCTGGGAGTGGTGATGAAAGGTGATTTTGGAGGAGCTACTGTCCCTTCCCTGAGCAGGAACCCCCAGTTTTTATGGCAATTTTCTATGTTCAGTATCTTTGGCTTTAACTTCCAGCTATTCATACTTATACCTTTTTCTGTTAGAGTTCATAATGGGTAATTCTCTTTTATAGAAGTATTCATGCAACATAATCTTTTACTTCTGGATCTTGCTTTGGATAAAACATATGCCTTAAAATGTGGATAGTAAACTTTGCTGAATAGCTAAAAGTTCTTTAATATCTTTGCTAGTTGTTCTTTGGCATTTTTTTTCCTTCCCCAGGAGAATGTTTTGACTAATTCCCAGAAGACCGTGTAATGAAACATGCTAATCAGTTTACTACTACTGCATATAGAAAACTACAAAAAAGAAATGGTTATTTCCAGTACAGCCAGATTTCACCCTCAGCTGTGGGGAGAGATGGTTTCATGCTTATCTGACTGTTGAACCTATAATCTTGTTGTGAGGCTAGGTTGTTGGAGCATTTTATCTGTTAGCAAGTTCCTCACTTTGAAGCAAAAATATTTGCCCATTATCTATTAATGTTGAAGAGATTGTGGCTCAGATTATTGACAATACATTCAGCATTTAATTTAGCTTGTCTGCTTTCACGGATGCTATCACACCTGCAAAATTTATTTTAAAAAAAGGTAGGGATCTGGGCATATATGATGAGTGAACTCTATTGGCCACAAGCACAGATGCCATTGTTTGAAGATGTCCTGTAGCCTATGGATTCTGCCTTCTTTATATCATAGAAGTTGAGTGGGAGATCTTTCCTCTGAGACACAACTGCACTTTAAGACAAAGAAAATGAGACCAAAACAGCCTCCAAAAGAAGATACCTGGATAATGCAGGGAATGCAGTAGTGAGTATTTTGGCTGTGGCTTTTTTGAAGATATTATGGATTTTTGGTATTAATCTTATTAAGGTGGTCACACTCAGAAGTTCTTGCTTTCTCCATAACCTTGAAACACATGTTGCCATTTATTCCTGTACAAAGTGAATTTAAACTGTTATTATTAAGAACCCAAGTGGAGGAAGGTTCATTAGGTGGAACACAGTTCCACCTTTCACAAAGCATTAGTAAAGACAACACCACATTGCCGAAGTGCCACTCCCTAAGCAGAAGGGCATAGGTACAGAAAGCGAGTGCATGAACTGGCCAACAGAACATAATTTTTTTCCAGAAAGTTTTCTGAACAGCGTGTAACTGATAAGTAAAGTTTTTCATTAATAGAGAAAAAAATCTCACCAATAGGAAAAAAAATGATATCACAAAGTATTCCATTTACTAAGAATGTTCAGTTGAAAATAGAAGAGTGACAGATATGATTAGTTACTTCTTGGACTGATGAAAATGTTGAGTGGGAAGATGATGATGCCCATTGTGTGTGTTATGTTAAAATCTTTTAATGTGGGCATCACAGCATCATAACAGTTTTGGATGAAGTGGAATTTGGTTTTGTTCTAAAACCATCGGTCCTTCCAAAAGCTATACTAATAGCCATTAGATATCTATATATCTATCTATAGATAGATAGATTGCCATTTTTATCATTATATATATATAGTGGGTGTACACACACACACACCCCCACCACTTTGATCTTAGTTAAAAATACTTTTAAAAAAGAAAAAGATGAAACTAAAGATTTAACTAAAAGTAAAAACTCATTGGGACAATTCTTGCTCCCACGAGCACCATTATAACTTCAGAGAAACCCTATCAAAGCACTAGTTTCTTTGGAATGAAACTTCTTTCGCTAATTAAAATGCAACTTCCTATCACATCCCTCAGTTCTCCTTGACAATGTGTATCAGTCTCAGACCGACAAACTGGAGGAACAAAATGGTTTCTGCTATTTTTATGTTAGTTAATTCTCAGGACAAAAACACACTTAAAAGAATTAATGATAATAAGCCATCATATATTCTGTCTGATTTCAACTATGTGCAATGAGGATGGCTAACCCAGTTTCATTCACATGGCTAAATTTAACTTAAGGGTGAGGATGAAAAACACATTTATTCAGGGATACTTTGCCATAGATTTTACTCTGGATTAAAATTACTCAAGTGTTCTGAGTGGGTATAAAACCCATTTTTCTGAGATGACTGCCCAGCATTACCTCAGAACTGCCCACAACATTAATCAAATTTCTGCAGCTGTATAAAATTGACTAGAGATTCACACATCACATACAACAGTATAACTTTATCAAGGGTAACATTCTTTATGGGGGTATCTTTAACCCCAAATAAAGTTACTTTGTGATAAGGCTGTACATCCAGGTCCCCAAGTTCCTCAGATCTTATTTTACCCCTATGGTGCTTAGATGCAGGTAACAGGTGCTGTGCAGTTCAGAGCAAGAGATCCTGGCCCCCTTTGAAACAGCTCTGAATATACATTTGTCCATATCATATGTCATAAATAGCAGAAAGTAGGAGGGCAGCTTGTGTGTCCAGGGTCTGGAATAGATTCCCCTCAGAGGTGGTACAATCACCTACTTGGGATATCTTCAAAAAATGTCTGGACATTCACCTTGCGGGGGTCATCTGACCCCAGCAGTCTTTTCTGCTCAAGCATAAGCGGGCTGGACCTGATGATTGAGAGGTCGCTTCCAGCCACTAACTTCTATGAATCTATGGTCATCACTACTTTGCATGAACTGTTTTCCAGGTAGAATGAAATAGTTTTGTGCTCAGGCACTTAAATACCATGTAAGTGCCTTTTATGTGCAATGGGTTTCAGCTTATGCATTCATTTCCTGCAGGATCCGTGTAGCTTTTGATAATGCATTACTGAGAAAGAACCCCCAAAGACACCAGGGTTCAGTTTTCTGGTTTTGTAACTGGAGAAAGCCAGTGGAAATGTTGTTTTCCTTGAGAAATGGTGAATGTGAAACTCTCTCATATTGTTCTGCATTTTTTAGCTCAAATATTATAAACATGACCTAGAAACAAAGATTTCTAATGACTTAGAAACAGAATTTTAAGGAGACATGTTTTCTTGACTTCATTATAAATGCATCTTACTTATACAAATTTGAGTTTCAACAGAACTAAGTGCTTTGGTTTCTATGATGATTTACCCTGCTGTTAGAGGAATATCAGTTCCACACCACAAATGCAAAAAATGCTTCATAAACTGTAGATTATAACTAAATTAGAAATCTAAGGGACAAATTATCTCTCTTTTATGGATTGAAATCTGACCACAGCATTTCACTGTTGTCTGTCCATTTCACTTAATGATTCTTAAATTTAAGATGCAGAAAAGCCACTGCAAAGTAAGTGGAATCAGACTCTACTGCCTCTGGTCTACATATCTTCCCCTCTCAGTTGCCAAGAGGGTGAATGATTCCTTTAGGCAGTACCTACCCATGTCCTTCTGGTGAAGATTTTTTTATTTTTCTGGGATGTGGGAGATAGTTTTAAATTTGTTCTAGGTAAGCACTAGCAGGCTTGAAACCTGGGTCTTCCACTTGCAGTTCAACTATCCTAAGCCTTAGGCTATTAAAATAAAAAGGTGGAAGAGTCCTCTTGTAATTGCTAGTTAGCCCCCCACCAAATCAATCTGTGATTAATGTACTACTAGTGATCATTTCTAGATGGGCAGGACTAGGAAGAATAGACCTTTTAGAATAAGAAATTAATTCCAATTTTAAAATGATGCATTTTCTGCTTTGTCTCTTCCTTTATGTTCTTATTCTTCATCTTTTTTCTCTTCATTCTCATAATTTTTTTCATCACTGCCATTTATTGGTGTTTATTCATTAAATACCATGTTGCTCATTGCAATTCTGATTAAATTTCTCACCAACATCTGAGAATATATTGATTTTGTTATTTGCTTCTTGTCTGTGTAGATAAAAGCTATGGCAGATATGAACCGATGGAATGAGACACGTGTAACCGAATTCATTCTGGTAGGTTTTCCTAACACCTACAAAGTGGAGATCACCCTTTTCATGCTGTTTCTAATCATTTTGATGATGACAATAGTTGTGAATTCTATCATCATCACTCTCATATGCACTGACCACCATCTGCAGACTCCCATGTACTTCTTCCTCTGCAACCTGTCCGTCATTGAGGTTCTGCTCACTTTGACTGTGATCCCCAAAATGATGGCAAACTTCCTGGCAGAGAGAAAAACCATTTCCTTTTATGGCTGTCTGGCTCAATCTTACTTTTATTTCTTGTTGGGCATCTCAGAGTATGTCCTATTGGCTGTGATGTCCTATGACCGGTATGCAGCTATCTGTTACCCATTGCACTACAACACAATCATGACTGGCAAAGTCTGTATATGGCTGGTGGTGGGTTCATGGATGGGTGGATTCTTCTCCATCTTGGTCCCCACTGTGATGAAACTTGGGTTGCCTTTTTGTGGCCCCAACATCATTAACCATTTCTTTTGTGACAGTGCCCCCTTGATGCACTTGGCTTGTGCTGATATTCAACTAGTGGAGTTCATTGACTTCCTTGTCTCACTGCCTGTGCTGTTGGGCTCCCTGATGTTGACTGTCATCTCTTACTCCTGCATTATCTTCACTATTGTCTGTATCCCTACAAGAGAAGGAAAGCAGAAGGCTTTCTCCACTTGTGCCTCACATTTCACTGTGGTCACTATTGGCTACGGCACCTCTGTCTTCATTTATGTCAGGCCTTCACAAGCTAACTCAATGAACCTCAACAAGATGGCCTGCTTGGTGACCACAGCATTGACTCCTTTGCTGAACCCATTCATATTCAGTCTTGGGAATCAGAAGGTTAAGGAAGCATTGAAAAACTTTGTCAGCAAGTACATGGGTTCACCAAGTGTACTCTCTAAACTGGGCCAAAATAGAAATACACTCCAGAGGGCCTGAGGTTTCATATTCCCAGTTATGCTGCTTTAGTTCCAATAAACATTGTCTGTGGGCACTAATCGTGTAAGTACTGAAACACTTCTGGAATTTTTGAGGCCCCCTGGGTTCCATTGCAGCAAAACAGAATTAAGTTACCCAGCACCTCCCAATAAAAAGGAGGTTTTGTGTTTGTAGAAATGAAAGTCTAAGTTCCCCTTCAGTTCAGTCAGCTGATGGCTTGGTTGTTTATTGGTAATGTGACTCATAGGGCTAAATACAATTTCACTTTATGGTTGTTAGTTATCTCATTGCAGTTTTTGGTACTTACACTAAGTTTTCGAATCTGCTTCACCTTCTGGCAAGCAAGCATTATCCTGAGTATATACCTGCTCGGAGTGAAGAAGAGAACCCCACTTCCTTCCCCCACCCTTTTTAGCCCAGTGTTTAGGAGATAGGGAGCCAGGGAGCTGGTGACCCAGGTTCTAGGCTTCCACTTACCCAGAAATGAGTTTTCACCTGGGTCTTACGCTTACACAAACTGCTCTAGTCACTAAAGCACAGATTAGGCATTGCCCAGAGCCCACTCTAGCATTCCTTTTGAAGCTGAACCACTAAACCTCACATTTAATATTTATCAGAGAGATGGTGTTGTCCTGTGGGGTCAGGCCAACTCTCAGGATCGCAATATTGTGCTGTTAGACAGGAGGGGGTGACACAATTGCACATATTCAAACACACAAATCAATTAGGTGCACACACACACACACACACACACACACTGCCAACTTAGGCACATACACATCCAAACCAGCCTAGGCACATGCATACCTATCACCAATTCAAGCACATACACACACCAAAAATTAGACAGCAATCAGTTGTCAATACCCACACAGTCTGTACACATACACGGAACACTAATTTGTATATCACACGCATGATGACATATATATTCACCAGTTCACATACATACCACCCACCTACACATAGACACAGGTGAGTTCCTAACTTGGATAGTACGGTATGTATGCATGTGTTTGAGGTACTTGGGATACCTGGGGTATCGTCCGCCCACGGGTACGTAGCAGAAAGTTTAAGGAGTGAAAGTTGCTGGAACCGGGGATTAGAACTGGTAGACTAGAGAGAAGCTGGCTGAGGAATTGAGGCTTGGGGTTACTTAAGGTCAAGTGGCCCCAGGGTTACTCAAAGTCACTGGTGCAAGGGAAAAAGCCCTTGCAAGGAGGAGGCAGCCAGGAAAGAGAGAGAGGCAGACAGCTGGGAGCTTGGGAATGGAAGCTGAGGCAGACGGCTGGGAGACTGGGGCTGATAAGTGGTGGCAAGGAGGAAACAGACAGGAAACAGACAAAATCCCAACTTGGGGTTTCAAAATAACAGGTTTATTAAACAGACAACACACTACACAGCCCCATGAAGTTATTGGTACACACAAGCACTCACAATAGCAGCAGGAGAGAGAGAGTCAGTGGAAGGGTTGGAGTCCAGGTGGGGAAGAGAAGCAGAGTCCAAGTCCTTGGTTGAAGAGAGGGTGGGGGGGATAGCTACCTATCCAGACTGGAAAGGGGTCTTTGTCCAGTAGGTGTTGTCCAGAGAGGGGTCGCCAGCAGGGCCTCTGGATGGATAGGTGGTGTGGCATGGTGCTTGTCCAGATGGAGAGGGCGTCCTAAGGAGTCAGTCTTCACTACCCCTTTTTATGGGGCAGACTACCTCTGATCTCCCATGGGGAGGGCCTGTTCAGGCAATGTCAGTCCGGTTCCAGGTGTTCTTACTGAGCGTGTGCAGCCTTGGCACAATGGTGGGTTGCCTCATCTTTTGTTTCTTGAATGCTGAAGGTGGTTCCAATGGCTGGGTCATTGGTCCAGGGATTGTTTTTTTGGTTCGGTCATTCAGAAGGAGCTATTTTTAGACCTACTGCCATTGTCTCTCAAGCACCCTCATTCATCCCCATTCATTCAGGAGCCAAGTTACACAGGAAGGGTATGTATGAGTCATAGGTTACAACATACTTACACAACAGGGGATGGGGAAAAGATGGAGACTTGAAAAATAAAATGGAAACTTGACATGACTTATGCTAACTTACATATGTAGGTCTAAATCACATAGTATTAGGGGTTTCAGCAACGTAGAACAGTAAAAATCAATATGAACATAATAATTATACAATATAAAGAAGGAGAAAAAAACCAGAACAAATACAACTTGTTACCAAAATAAAATGCTGAAGCTTATCCTATGTCTTAGCTCACTTATACTTATCTATAGGGACTAGAGAGGGAGAGAGAAATGGTTGGGGAAGGGGAGGGAATGCATTTTAAAAGAAAAAAGAAAAACTGGGGGTTTTTCTGCAATGGATGTGCAGAAAGATCTGCTTGATTGTGAGCAGGGACCTAGGGTAGAACTCAGGGTCTCTGCCCTCCGGAGGCAGCATCCCCCTCATTGAGTCTCACACCCCTCCCTTTTTTTTTTTTGTCCTACATACCTCCCTTTCTGGACAGCCCAGGAGGTGAGCTTCAAGGGGAGGGCTGGAGAGTAGTTTGAGTAATTCCTAACCTATCACCTTGGATGGCATTCTGTTCTTTTCCTGGTTGTCTACTTGGCACTTTTGGTCAACCAGGTGCTAAAAAGTGCCATTTATGCACATGTAGGAATTATTTTTCTGGCCATGCAACCTTGCACTCATACACAACTATGTACATGTACACACTAGGCATGCACAGGAGGCTATAAAGCCACGTATGTATCCAGGGATATAGAGTCATCCCTTATAAATAGAAAAAGAAGAAAACAGAAGAAATTTTTTGGCTTTGTCTAATGCCCAACTGGCCAGCCTGCCCCACAGAAATTTTCAACTGAATCAGCATTTTCTGACAGAACAGTGTTCCAGTGTTATGGCCAGCTCTACCCTGAAGCCCACCTCTAACTGGATCAGTCTTGCAACCCACCATCTTTCTCTAGTTCCACTGTTTATACTCCACATAGCACAGAATGAATTGTAATGTTATACAACTAAAACTGTGGACCAATCACATCTTGAGAACAGCCAGAGGCCAGTTTTGTTTTGTTTGCTTATATCTTCCCTTGTGTGTAACTGTAGAGCTGTGTTATTGGAAGGGTTGTTTTATTGGATGAGAAGCGCCTAAGTAGGCAAAGCCACACTGCAAGTACCAACAAGCTAACCAACCTACTTACAAAAAGACTGAAATGTTAATTGCCTTAGGCAATGGAGTGAAATCTAGGACCTGATCTGTTCTCCAGATGGAAGCAAATTCTAATTCTTGTATCAAGGTCTGGGATTTAGCATTCTTAACATGTATTTCTGGCACTAGCAGGGAGATGGGATCTAACAGGAATCTCTAGCTTCTTAGCTTCACTGCTGGCAAATAAAAGAACTTCCCAAATCATGTATACTTGCTCTTTCTCCTTTTTTATTGACCTTTCTTCTGTTCCTGAATAGTAAATGGAAATAAAGGGTTACCATATTTCCAGGTCCAAAAAAGACGACACCTGTTGGGTGGGGGAAGGGGAGGCCAGGGGGAATATGATGGTGGGAGGTGGCAGTGACATGTCAGTGCCCTGCCCGTGCCCATTCTGTTGCCCCTCACTGTCAAGCCACACACCCCCAGCCTTGCTGCTGCCCTTCACTTCGGACCCACTGACTCCAGCCCTGCCACTGCCCTTTACTCCCAAACAGCAGTACCCTGCCCCCCACCCCTTGCTGGTGTCCCTCTCTCCCATCCTGCAGCCAACAGGCACTGCCAGTACCCTGCACACCCAACCCACAGTCACCCATCCCATAACCCCCTTCCCTCCCAGACCTGTGTCCAAGCAGCTCCCGCATTGTGCTCTTGCTGGCTCACTCTCTCTCTCCACCTGGTTGCTGGAGCCCGTGTGGGAAGCACATGACATCTGGCAGCCAATCACCTTGCCCACTGCTCCCAGACCCAAGCAGCCAGCCTGAGAGAATAGAAAACTCGTACATTTGCTCTTGTTTTAAAAACCCGCCCAGCCACTGCACAATGGTCCACAAAGGAGAACATGTCTGGGAAAACCTGGACATATGGTAACCCTATCACAACCAGAACACACCAAATAAATTAAGCATTCTGGGATTTTTCACTGTCCATAAATGGTATTACCTCCTGTCTAGGCTTATTTCCATATTTACTTACTTACTTATCATTTCTTTATTTATCTATTTGATTTTCATGACACAATCCACAAAAAGGCTCTGTCTGTGACATATCTTAATCAAAAGATTGTCATTAAGGTTATAGCCAGATGAGGTGACAAGAGTGTTAATCTCTAGCTAATGGCTATTTGCATTCAGAAGAATTATGGCATGCCTATTTAACAGGCAGGGGGGAGGCAATTCTCTTAAGTTATCAATGGCCAATTGCGTTCCAAAGAAGAATGCATACACTTGTAAAGGAGACATATCAAAATAACAAGTACATTTCAGGTGAGGGAGGGCTCTTAACCAGGGAATTCCAGATCCCCCAGATAGGAAACAATGTTCTTGGAGACTTTCCTGCTGCCCAGGAAATAGGGAGAACATTAAAAATATGGGGAGGGTCTGTTGGGAAGGGGGCAGGGGGCGATCTTTGGAATCCCCCCTGCACTTCCAGATAAATCCAGATCTCCACCTGTCAGAGATGGTAGTCAGCAAGAAGATTTGCTTCTGGAAACACTAACAAGACCCTTTCAAGGACTGTTGTAGCCAGACAAGAGGGTGAGAATTTTCAGTTTTATTTCTGTGCTCTTCCTTCAAATTCAACGGTTATTTTTACTGGTACAATTTCTCTCTCCTCATAATAAATCCTTTTGCTATTTTGTTGCTCTAGTTATTTCCTCTGTTAAAATGTGACTTCAGAGTACTTGGTACTTCAGACTTGCCTCCTCTTTGGAAGAGGGGAAACTAAGTTTTACAAAATAACAGAGAGTCTTTTCTTTGACCTGGCAATATTTCCTCTGCTGCAGATGCCAAATCTGTTGCGACAACA